AAAACCGATCCTTTTGTTTAGTTTTTGTTGGCAGTAAGATTGGTTAGGCTGTTAGAAAAAGGTGTATGTTTGGATATATATGTATATGTGTGCATAAATGATGAATGTATGGAAAAAAATGTATTGTGCATTTAGTAAAAAAAAGCTTGGAAAAAAAGAGAAAATAATATGTTAATAAATGTTTGTGAAAAAATTGGATGAGAAAAATTATGGAAAAATAAATAAATAAATATAAAAACATATTTGTAATTATTTTTATTAAATAATGGAAATGAAGAAAACAAACAATTAATAAAAAGCCAACATTTTTATATTAATAAATAAAGAAAAATTACTAATAAATAATTGAAAATATTTTTAAAGATATATTCATTTTTATTAAATAATGGAAAAAATGAATAAAAATGCAAAAAAAATACAAAATAAATTTTGCAAATTTCCATTATTTAATAAAAATAATACCATTATTTAGTAATTAATTTAGAAAATACACTGATTTAAGTATTTTTTCGTATATCATATCAAACCGAAAATAAAAAATAAGCAAATAAAAAAAATAATCAAATCAGTGCAATTTCCAAAAAAGGTGTTAAAATAAATAAAGTACAATAAAAAAATAAAATTTAAATAATAAAAAATCAAAAAAAAAATAAACAATACCAAACATGTATCAAATCACTAAAATGTTAAAAATTAGAGCAAACCAAATAATTAAAACAAGAAAACAATTAGTAAAATCAAAACTAAAAATACTTTTTGTTAATATTTGCGAAAAAAATTAGAAAAATCAAAACTAAAAAAATATGAATTTACCCTTTGGGTATTTACCCACTGCCCATCTCTAACCATTTGAAATCCTAAACTTCAATTTTGTTTCTGTATGCCAAATGAATTGTGATTTATACTTTATGAAACCACTTTCAATATCCCTTTCTTTTGCACCAATGAAAAGCGCTTTCATTCGACATAGAGAAACGAAAATAAAATTATTTTTTTCCAAATTTCAATGAAAGAATTTTAGTTTCCAACTAAAATTGTCGCATTGAAATTATGTGAAATATATCCCTGGAACGATGTTTGAAATTTTGAAACATAAACTGTTTAGGCATACAAATTGAGAATATTTAGGAATCATGTCCGATAAAAAGTCCAATATTTTTATTGAGTTGTTTTTGATTCGAATTAAATACATTTAAAAAAATCTATATTTAGGGGGTGGTGGTTATCTCGCCTTAACACACCATTAGGTGTTCAACAATTTGTCTATGGGCATTTATGTGATTTTAAAAAATATAAACATTGTCTATGAGCTTAAAGGGCTTTTTTTAAATTGGAGGAGAAAAAATTCTCAAAATTCAATACTGTCGCCCTCAGTAGATTAAAAAAAATCTTTAAATATTAGCCTATGATAAAATAACAGGAATATTCAACCATAGGCTAATATTAAAAGAATACGGAAATGTTCTGCAACAATAACATAGAATATTATAGGAAAAATCCTACAAAGGATTTTAAATCCTTTATAATTTAAAAGACACAAAACTGTAAAAAAATTGAGATTTTTGTATCAAACATTAATTTTTACTATAAGTAAAAAAAGCTGAACTTTGGCTCATAGATTCCAACACATATTCACATTTTCTAAGAAAAAAATTTCAAAAATTTATAGAAAAAAAATAATAAAAATTCACAAAAAAATAAAAAATTAAAAAAAAAATAAATATTAAATAATTTTAAATTATGTTATTGGGTTTATTTTTTATAGTGAGCCAACTATGGTTTTTAGTGAGACCCCCAAAACAGATTTACCACCATACAAAATCCATACCAATTTTTTAAGACCCTTATCGTATGCTAACATGTGGGTAATATTTGGAATAGAGGGAAATTTTCTTAATTGAATTACTATTTAGACATATTTTTTTAAATTTTTTTAAATTAACATTTCAATAAATTTGATATTCTTTTGAATTAATATTGAGATTTTTTCTAATGGAATTAATCAAATTAAAATGGATTTTGTTAAAATTTGCTAATGAGATTAAATCTCAATTATTTTTTTATGAAAAAAAAAATCAAAAGAACAGCAACAAAATTAAAAGTAAATTTGGAATATATAAATATTTTGAAAGAAATCCATCTTTTTTGTTAAAGGTGGATTAAATTTTTCTCATTAATTTCTCTTTCGAGATGTGCTACATGATCGGAGTTGCAATGAAAAGGAAAGCAAGAGAGATATTACATTCCCAACACTATGCGACGCGTTTCGCCGTTGCTTAAGCGGCTCATCAGGCATATTGGGCAATTTTTTTTGTGACGGACTTTTTTCCATACAGACTACAATATTTTTTCTTCAATGGTATTCAACTGCATATTGTTCAACCTTAGAAAGATAAGGAGGTGGCTTTGAACGCTAAGGCGCCGGACATCAACAGATGCCATGGGAACCAGGGTTCAAATCCCAGCCGGGCTCAAGCTGAATTTTTGAGTTTTTTTCTCGTTTAATTAAAAAAAAAAAATATTTTCTTTAAACATTATTTTAATATTTATTATTTTTTACGTTGTTCGCCATTTAATTGGATGATTATGTGTTATACAAAAATATTTGTTGTATATAAATATTTTAAATATTATACACAACATATTTTTTATGAAAAATATTTTTAAAATTATTTTATTTCATTTAAAATCGATTTTTGCATTTTTTTTTTTAATTTAAAAATATTTTGTGAATATTTTTTTAATTTTTTTTTTTTTTTTGGTTCAAATATTAATTCAAATTTACTAAAGATTTTTTGTATTATTTTTTTAAGATTTTGTTAAATTTTCCAAAATTTTTGCTTGGTTAGCTTTCATTCAAAATTGTATTTCTATTTTATTTTGAATTTATTTTTTATTTAAAATCATCCACTCATTATGTCTTCAAATTCTTTTGTCGCTTTTATGGATTTTGGTCAACATTTTAAAATTAGATATAAAAAAATATTGATTCATATATGTTGAAGGTTAAATTAATGTTAAGTTAATATTGCTCGACTAACTTGTAAAGGCAATAAGTCCATATTTTACAATTTTAGAGAAGAGACAAACAAGGCAACCAGCAACATGGACTTAGGCCTTTAGATTGCAGATTTTTTGTACTAAGTCGATGTATTTTTACGAATTAAAAATGTCTGTATCAAAATCTCAATTTTCTGGAAAAAAAAGGGACTTATTGCCTTTCCATCTTAAGCCAGCGATATTTTTTAGTTTTGAAATCCTTAATTTATTTTTGGTCTCAGTTTCTAATTCAAATGCACATATCTCAAAAATCATTAGAAAATTTTGATTTTGGTAAATATATATTTAAATGATTTTCCAAAACCAAAATTGTATTAATTTTTATTTTCATTAAAAATTTTCACATTTTCCAATTAGAATATTACCCACATTCCATTAGACTTTTTTCAAATCATATTTTTCCCAAACACCATTGAAAATTTGTTGTTGTTGTAAATATTTAATAAAATAAATATATAATAAAGAGAACACCAATTATGTTTTTTTTTTTGTAATATATTGTATTGAAATTCTTTTTTGATTTTTTTCCAATTAAATAAATTAAACTTAGATTTAAAAAAATTTCGAAGAAGAATAAATTAAATAAATAGGCACTAATTTAATTTAGATGTATAGACTAAACTAAAAACTAATGTCTTCCAAAATTTCTTTTAAGGTTTGTTTGTTTGCATTTTTTGACTTATAAAAAGAAATTGCTAAATTTATGACTAATTAAATAAGAAGCTAAACTAAATTTTGTTTTTAACACTAAAAACTAGAAGCAGATTTAAAGGAAAAGAAGAAGAGTAGATGAAGAATGAAAAACTAAACTAAAATAATTTACAACTATCTACAGGTACTTAGTTAAAAATATAAGTAGGCGAGATATTTAAGTACATCAATTTACAAGGATATTTTTTGGGGAGGGAGAAGAGGGGGACGTTTTCTTTGGATTTGTTTAATTTTCTGAGAACTTTGGTTTAAAGAGATTTGGTTTGTTTTTTTTCTGCCATCTAAACTAAAATGACATTTTATTTTCTAAAGATTTAAAAATCGCATCTACAGCTGCCATCTACTGCCATAACTATATGGCGAATATCTATAACTAGGACTACCAAATGAGGCGGCCGCGGCTCCTGCTGTGGAGGAATGGGCCGCTGCGGCTGCCGCCGCTGCAGCATGTGACATGCCAAAGGGTGTACTATGATGGAACATATCAAAGGCCGAACCGAAAGTGGAGCGTGGCGGTGTTTGATAGAACATGGCGGCGGCATTGGACATTAACGTATTCGATGAGTTGGAGGTGGTGGTGGTGACGGTGGCATTGGACGTGGCAGTTATGGCATTCGAACTACTCGAATGCACGGGAGAATGGCTTAAATTCAATGACTGAGAATTAAGAGAATTACCCAAACCACTGCTGTTTTGGGTGTTGTTGTTATTGTGATTTTGATTATTGGCCGAATTATAGAGGGCCGTTAAGAGATCATCTTCTTGCACCTTGGGAGTTACTTTCAAGGAGGCAGAAGTCGAAGAAGAGGGAGCACAGCTACTAAAAGCACTTGTGGCCGAGGGCACAATACTGCTGCTGCCAGTAGAGGTCGAGGCTGAGGTGGGAGCATATTTGTCCTCCACCACACTGTTGGGCACAACATTTTCCTTGATCTGATTCAGGGAATATTGTGTCACAGCCTCAACACCAGCCACCGTTTTCATAAAGGTGGCCAAATGCAGGGCAGCAGCAGCCTGCTGTTGTTGCTCCGATTCCAAACGATTCAATTCATCCAAATGATCCTTCACCACCATCATTACCTCATCGGCTAATTGCAAACCTTCACTTGAACTATCTGAGGAATTGTGACTAGCATTGTTCGTGTTCGACGAGCTTTGTGAACACACTTTTTGTGAGACTTTTGTGAGCAGTGCTGGTACATCCTTGTACAGGATATCCAACAACTTACCGGTGGTAAACAGCACAATCGCCTTCAGACACGAATACTCAGCCGAATCGACATGTAAAGCTTTCAATTTCTCCACCTGTTCCTGGAAGATGCGGATATGATCCATAAATGCAACAACACGATCCGCAGCCATGGGTGAGGCATGTAAACCCGCCGCAGCCAGAAGGGGGGCAACATGCAGTGGCATTGAACATTGGCTGGCATTGAGTACGAACAATTCGGACCATACCAAACGCAGCAGAGCAACTTGATCGGTAACTTGTAGTTCGGGGAAAAAGGGTATATTTTTGGCCCATTCAACGGCGGAGAATAGCAGACGGGCAGCCAATTCACAAATGTTATCAATGCCCATAATATTATTTGGTTGCATACACTGGCCATAGCGGGAGGTGGGATAGGGTTCGGCACGCAGGAGTAATGAAATATAGGAACTAAGGTACGAATGGCCATTGAAGCCAGCCACGCCCATGGGATCGCCATTGGCCAGCTGATATTGGCCGTGCATGCCAGCCAAGCCGGGTTGAGTGGGTGGGACGCGTCCGCGTTGTACAGCTGAAATGAGAAGAAAGAGGGGGGAGAAATTAGTATATTTGTAAAAAATGTGGTAGAGAGGAAAATTGAGTTTAAAAGAGTGGAAAAAATTGCAAAGGTTGTACGGAAATATAGAAGAAAAAATTTATTTTTTTTTTAATTCCCAATTTTTTTCTAACCTCGACCTTCCCTAAATAAAAAAAATAATTATTTTGACCACTACATCACACTCAAAACAATAGCCAAACAAAAAACGAAAAAAATACCCCCTTCAAACCGGTGACACAACTTTGTCATCCATCAAGCCCAACAATATCCTGTCACATCCTTCTCTTTCTTCTCCTAGCATTTTGTAGACCTCGAACTTGCCAAATAATGCCACATATCATAATAAAAGTTGAAATTAAATCAGACAATCTCAATCTCTCTATTGTTCTACAATACGAATTCGCAACCCTTAAATTCCAATGGCAAAGATGAGTTCCTTAGGAAAGACGATACTTTTTTTTGTTAAACGTAAGAAAGCGACAGTATTTTTCCAAAGACGTCAGCACTAGACAAACAACCCTTTTGTTAGGCGAATCGGAATAGTATGTAAATTTCGCTGTTGTTGTTGTTTTCAATGAATCCAACAACAGCAACAAAAATTGTTTTCTTAATATTTTCAGCACTAGGCAGACAGACAATGCAAAAATGTATTTTTGTTTAATTTAAATTTTTTTGCTTGAATGGTTCGAGGCTTGCTGAATTTTTTATTGACGTTACAAAAATTTCTTAAATTTACTTTTAATTAAAAATTTACATAAAATCCGTAAATGCTAAAAACCGCATGGAAAATCCACCATGACATGCAACGGATAATAAAATATAAAATAACGAAATAATTATTTCAGCAAGGTTAAAGACATGTTGACTTTTTTTGGTGGGCAGATAAATCCCAAAAAAAATATTTTGTGGTTAATATTTAATGACTGAAAATTGTCAAAAAAATATTAAAAGCCTTTCATAAATTTTCTTTGGCCAGAAGCCAACAGAAAATGCAAAATTTGTCAAGCATTTAAAGCAATAAAGTGTAAACAATGAGCTTTGCCATCTATACCTTACTTGGTTTCAAGTGAATGAGAATTGCCAGCCTAACACCTACACTGAGTTATGAAATAACAAAGCACAATGCCCCTTCAAGCATACAAAGCATTAATGCTCTCTTTAAATTATATTTTCTCTCTCGCTCACTCAACCGTTTAAACAACAAAACAATGCTAAGAGAAGAGCAGACACAACAAACTCACATAAACAATTTAATATGAGAGTAAAACAAAAAGAGAGAGTGTGTGAGAGAGAGAGAGTTAAGTGAGTAAATTCAATTCATTGTAAGGGAATTATTAAATAAAAAAATTTTTAACACTTAAGAAAGCTTGAAAATGTCAACTGCACGTGTCTAAGAGCTTTTAAAATGGTGTAACAAAAATTTAAAGCCAAAATAACACGACTTATTCAATCAAGTGATTATTCATTTTTTTTCTTTTAAATATTGAACTTCGACATACCAGCTCTAAAGAAGAAACCGTGCTTAATGGGTTCTTTTTTGGTTTGCCTAGATCTTTTTTAATCATTTAGTGTTAAAGGAGTTAGAGACTTACCCTCCATGAGATAAAAATCTAAGCAAAGATTGCTTTCACAAGCCACAATGCGTTAAAAATCAAAATATTACCAAATATAACCACAAACATCTTGAGACAGCATCTCAACAACAACAACTATCCTAAAAAGGGATAAGCAAGGAGAGAAGTAAGAAAGAAAGTAAATAAAAAAATTGTATTTAATAACCAAAAGATCAACACCTTGGCAAACCATAAATCTGCTTCCCAACTTTGGTCAGTCGCGGCAGCCAAAGAACTGGTCAGTGGCATAATGATAATCTTAAAAACCGGTTTCTGGCAGCCCTTATGCTGACCATTACAAGGAGAACCCCCAAAGGGAGGCTGGATGGTTTCTGTGACTAGATGTTGAATATGAACTTCACTTTTTTCGACCCCGAAACGAACACAAAAGGACATTTATTTTAATTATACTAAATCATGGTCAATCATGACTGCTTCACAATTTCCCTATGTTCTTTGGCTGTTTTTGAAAGATGACCAAACTGACCATTAGCTACTTGATTTCCATCTCTTCACTCAATGTCTCTTCTTGTTGTCCTCTTCTTTTTTGCATTTTGCCTAATCTATTATTGTTTAGACAATTTCATAAATATTTTTGTTTTCTTTGGAACACACACAAGAAAAGACGTTTACAAAGCAGAAAAAATCCAGGTGT